TCTTTCTTTCTTTCTTTCTTTCTTTCTTTCTTTCTTTCTTTCTTTCTAGCATCCTTCTTTTTGTCTCTAATTCCTCTTCTAAAATGGGGCTTGTCATTTCCAGTTTTCCTGTCTGTGCCAAAACCAATGAACAGGTTCAGATCTTCTGCCTACTTAAGGAGTGGCACTGGTTTAAATGTTTGAACTACCAGTATTTTTTTTAAAAAAGGCCCTGATTCTCAGGAGAATCACCTCCACCAAGTTGTGGCTTCCCATCCTGTTTTGTGGAAATGGCAGGCCACCAGCTTGGGCTACCCCTCCCTGCAAGCATCTTTTACGGTATCCGGCTCCTAAGTACATAATGTCCTTTTGCAGAGTAAGAAGAAAAAGAAAACGGACTTCATTCCATACAGGGATTCTGTGCTGACGTGGCTGCTTCGGGAAAACCTAGGTATGAAGTTGAGACAACCTTTTCCTTTTCTTTTTTTTAAAGTTTCACTCCCGAATAACCAGCAATTACTTGATAGGTGGTAGATCTCCCTGCAAAGAATGGCCCCATTTGGTGAAGCGGCAGACTCCACTCCTTGAAGTTGAGATCCTCTGTCTTTGAAACCAGGACTTTGGTCTTTTAAAAATGTTGGTTTGATTACCTGTGTTTTCAAAGCAAGGGTCTAAACCATTGTGGCTCTGGGGTGGAACAAATTCTGACTGTAACTTTGCAGTGGTCAGATGACATTTGATCCAGATAGACATTTCTGGGGCCAAGAATTTGCAATTTTCTTTCTTAAGACTTGGCAAATTGTAAAACTAGCGTTCACGCAACTCGTCAAGCCGTAGTGTGACTTGACTCTTTTGGGCATTCTGTGCTTTGGCAACTCTGCTAATCTGATTTTCAAACCCTCATACGTTTTAGCGTGATGTGTAAACCCAGCCAACTTTGGTTTGTTTAGCAAAACCCAGAAATGAAACCCAGCTTGCCTGAAACGGGATTCTAGTTTCCTTTCTGACATTCAAGATGACAGTGCTGTTACGATACGGACATATATTTTTTTTAAATCCCTGCTTTTAGTGGCGTTACTACATCCCAGCGATGGGCTAGATAATTATGATTATAATGATGGTGCATTTGTGCTGAGTCTTTTCACGATTTGTCAGTCAGGGTTGATCTTCCTTGATCTGATTGCATTTCTGCCTTGTAGGTGGCAACTCCAGAACCGCCATGGTGGCTGCTTTGAGCCCAGCAGACATCAACTATGATGAAACATTAAGCACATTAAGGTATTGAATGGGATTATAAATGCTGGGCTTTCTGTTCCATATGTTCTCTCTCTTGTTTTAGGCAATGTGACTTGAGTTTGATGAGCAATTGATGTATGGACTTCAACTCCCAGAGATGCTGGCTTGGGAATTCTGAAGTCCATCTTCAGGCTGATCTAGATAAAAGCCCTTGGAGTCTTGTCTTCCAAGATTCTTGACCATCAGCAAGTGAAGGATTTTTTAAACATACGTTATTGCCGTTGTTTTATCTCAATAAACCAATCTGTCCAGATACGCAGATCGGGCCAAGCAGATCAAATGCAACGCAGTGATCAACGAGGATCCCAACGCCAAGCTGGTGCGGGAACTGAAGGAAGAAGTCACACGGCTGAAAGATCTACTTCGCGCCCAAGGGCTTGGAGACATTATTGACAGTAAGTCTGGATGGATCTGGCTGATTCCTGGTTACTCTGAAGGAGATCACTTCTTTCCCATTGCATTTCTGGAAGAAAAACCTAGCATTTTTGGTCAATTTGAGGGTGTAGCAAAGAGGCAGGGATAGGTTTAGCCAAAGTTCATGTACCTTAGCTTGATCAACAAGCCTGCTGCATTATCTTGTGTTGGGGCCTTGTTGATTTATCCATCCAGTTGAGTGTTAAGCAGAGAAGAGATTGGACAACCATTTGTCTGAAATGGAATAGGGTCTCCTGCTTGAGCAGGGGTTGGACTAGAAGACCTCTAAGGTCCCTTCCAACTCTGTTATTCTATGTTTCTTTCCCTGGACAAAATTAGAATGTCTTCCAGAAAACAGCTCCCAGGGTAGAGCTGCAGCAATAGTAACCTTTTGTTTCAGGAGTAGGTTATAGCTGTCAATTCCAGCAGCCTCCCATTTCAAAATGCCCTCCTACAACCAAACAGAGCAACAAAAGTTTACGTTTTCCATTCTTTCCAGAGTCGGTCGACAAGTTAGATCAGGGCAGTTCCATTTGCCAAACGGGGATTTATTCTAGCAGAACGTAAGCTGCCAGGATTTACAGCTTTCCATTATCTCTTTTTGTTATGATGATGATTGCTGTTGTTGAAAGAATAAAAGAAAAAGACCACACAAGGGCAGGCTAGATGAAACAAACAAAAAAAAAAAGAGCCAAACACAATGAGTAAAGTATGGGAAGATTGCCAACAAATTTAAAGCATCATTTGACTAATATGTTCTAGTACATTATTAAAAGCTTAATATAGTACAAGACGTTTTGCATCCATTTTCAAATCAAAGCATGTCTTTATTAAACTTTAAAGTTAATGCAACTGAAAATTAAAAAATATGAGGGGGGTGGAGGGAGGGAGACTATAGATGATAAACGCTTCATTAGAAAATGTTGTAAATGATACACTGGTTACATCTTAACCTCTTTTTGTTGACCATCCTAAATGCCTATTTGCTTCCAGAGCAACTCTCCCCTGCTCACACCCCAAACAACTTAAACTTAGAAGGCCAGTTAACTTTAAATGAAATATTCTCAATCTGTAACTCACAAAAACAAAAAAAGGGCAAAAGATTGGGATTTGTGGGACATTTTGTCCACGTTTGTCTGTTTTTTAAAAAGTCCTTCTCAGGCCTTCTAAAAGTATTTTATAAACCTCACGATATAATAGGTTCGGCTCTCCCACCGCCACTCACCCCATCCGTGTCGTGAAAAGGGGCTGGTTAAATAAAGTCACCACCACCACCCCCTGATTGGAAATTGCTTGCATTTAGGCCCAAATTATGTGGAATATTTTCCGTAGACTTGATGTTTTTTTTCAGAGTTCTAGCCACCCTGGAATTGTAGATCAATACAGTAGTCCTCGACTTACAAAAGTGACTCCCGACTCCCGATTTTTCACACTTAATGACTGTTGTGGCATCCCCAGGGTCACGTGATCCACATTTGGCCATTTGGCAACCGACTCATATTTACGACACTTTCAGTGTCCCGGGAAGCACGCGATCCCCTTCCGACAAGCAAGGTCGATGGAGAAGCCAGATTCACTGAAACAACCCAGGTCACCAACTTAATCACACTGCCCGCGATTCACTTAGCAACTGGGGCACGGCAGGTCGTAAGATGGGCCAAAACTCATTTAACAAGAGTCTCATTTAAGCGGCAGAAATGTTGGGCTCACCTGCGGTCAATACCTCCGTATTGATTATCCCACCACACCCTCTCCCTCCTGGGAAGTGAGTCACTTCAGCTGATCGGTGAATTACAGTGAAAACGCCCCTGGTCAGCTGTTTGCCGCAGTGAGATGGTGAGAAAGTTTTGACGAGTGAAGGCAAAGCTTTGAGTCTCTGGAACAGTGAGTGTCGTTCTCCCACCCTCCCAGTGAATCTCTGGGAATTATTAAGAGACGAATGCTTAACCCTTGCTTTCGAATTCTGGATGCTTCTTTATCAGCTAAGAAATGTTTTCCCATTCTTTTTAAACACACAGTGGATAAGTATAAGGGCATTTACTCAAAAAACAATGGATAAAAGAGAATGTTTCTTAAGCGCGCAAATCGAATAGCAATTCCAAATCATAAGAGTATTTTTTTTTTCCTCCTGTTACGGTAACAAATTAGCTGAAATTGTTGAATTTGAGAATCTGACTTCCTTCTTTTTCCATCAAGCTTTTCCTTCTCTCACATCATGTCTCCTGTTAACCCTGAGTATTTTTTATCCTTCTTGTGTTTCCCTCCTAACCTCGTTCTTCAGTCGATCCACTGGACGATTTCTTGGGAAGTGGATGCAAATGTGTGTATTGCAGAATTAACCCATTTCCCCATCTTTGGCTTCTGTTGAGTGGGCTGCATTTGAACTTTACACTTCAATTTCTCACAAGGGAAATCCCAGGAGAGCATTTAAAAAAAAAAAGAGAGAGAGTATGAAATCATCCGACAGGCCTCTCTGAAAGAAAACATGAATTATCTGCTGAGAAACTGGGTGAAATCAAGGAGCTCTATTTTAAATTCCTCTTGTACTCGAACTACCAATATTTGGAAACATAATAATACCCAGAGTGGAGTAATTGATACTTACCTGCATTGTGTGTGTGTGTGTGTGTGTATGTATGTATCAAATATTCCTATTTGTTTCAAATGCTGGGAGTTCAAAGGCAGGGGAAATTTCAAAAGTGTACAGTTTCATTCAGTTTAGCAGTACTTTCTCATTCATGTATATACAAAATGTGTCAGTGTGTGCAAATAGCAATAGCCAAAGCATTTATACGCAGCTCCACAGTGCTTTTACAGCCCTCTCTTAAGTGATTTACAAAGTCAGCCTCTTGCCCCCAACAATCTGGATCCTCATTTTACTGACTGCTGAAGGATGGAAGGCTGAGTTAACCTTGAGCCATTCGGTCAGGATCGAACTCCTAGCAGTGGGCAGAGTCAGCCTGCAACATGGCATTCTAACCACTGCACCACCAGGGCTCATCTGAAGTAGCTGAAAAATAACAGTGCATTTTTGTTATTTATTTGAATGTTGGTATCAAGACAGCTGTCAACTGGGTAACGCCTTTTTAATTAGATTTTCCCCATCCAGGGCTCAGTTTAGCTAAACCCATCTCGCTAATAGAGAGAGGTGGGCAGGCTGAAAAATCATAGACTTCACTCAGAAAGTCTTTATTTAATGGATCGCTAGAGAGGCGGCTGAGCAGTTTCCTGCCGACTTCTCTTTTCCTCGGTGGAGATTTAAAAAAAAAAAAAAAAAAAGGCCGGGATTTGCAAAAGTGCTGAGTGCTGTTTTCAAGGCCTCAGCCTGCCCTGCTATTTAAAGCAAGAAAGGCAGAAGAGATTTTATTGGCAATCTCCTTGAAGTCAGAGAATTGGAAGTGTAATTGATCTAGTCTCTTTTCTGGCATCCTTGTTTTTTTTTTTAAGTTTTTTTTAACTTCCAGTATTTCTGGCCTCCCTTTTTTTTAACGCCGCTTTCAGCTTAACAGCTTTTTAACTCTTTGATTTTAGTACATGCAGCCGCAGCTTTTTGGTGAGGGGGATATGTGTGCATGGGCTAGCCGTGTGTGGTGCTCTCTGACAATTGTGTGGCTGCTTTGGCATTTGTAAGCCTTCCTTGCTCTCTCCTGTGGGACGCATGAGTTTCTCCAGGGTGCCGCGATTTGGCTCTGTCCCTTGGCTTGCCATCCTGCCGTGTTCGAATTGCGCTCTACCCTCAACCCTGCTCTTTTCTGAATGTGCAGATGGCAGTTTTTAAACCCACTTGAAACATAACTACTGGGCTCTTGAGAACAGAACATGTGTATGCTGGGTACCCTCAGCCCTGCAGTTCCATGAAATGTGAAAGTTTCTGGATTGGAGTTTGGGAGGGTTTGGAAGAATTTTGATACGTTTGTTAGAACAGAATCATCATTACGTACCTACCCCTATTCTGGCCATCGTCCAGGATATACCAGATCATTCAGACCTAGCACTTAATGGCCATTTCTTTCTAGGGCCAGCTAATTCCAAAATTACATTTCTCCCCCTCCTTTTAATAATGGGATTTTTCAACACCCTGCACCATCACATATGGGAAGGAGATAATGGCCACTGCTGAAGGCTTATCCCATCTTATCGAAGAGAGTGGCAGTTAATCTGATCATTCCTTTCAGGAGCCTCTTATTTCCCTGCTGAAGGGTATCTGCCAGATGTGGAGGGGAAAAAATTAAGATGGTGCTTGCAATGGTGTGGTCAAAGCCACCCCTTGTTATATTGTGTTGCACGTGTAAAGAACCAGGCATTGTGGTTGCCATTTTTTTTTTTAAATTATGCCCAGCAGACTCTCCGCCTCTAATTGATTCCAACCCTGGTATTAACATTTGAAAGGAACAGTTAATAGATGACAGCAAAGCTCTTACTCTATATCTGAACTAGGCCCAGATAAAATAACAGGATACCTATAAGACTGAACCCTGGAGGAAGCCAGCTGCTCACTCCAGGGAAGGAGCTCCCTTGAATTTTGTCAAGAGACTTAGCTGAGCCAGGGGGAAGAGTCAAGTAGGGAACTAGCCCGGAATCATTGCATAGGCAGAGAGCAAGGTCCAGCCCTCCTTGAATTCCATTGAACTTTATCTAGTCTTGCTTAGGTGCAAACCACCTGCCTGAGAAGATTCCTGTGAAATAGGCATAAGCAATAGAGTAACTAATTGAATTCTTCACGGGTGGATCTGGTTGTTTGCCTCAGACAAATTAGCAGCCAGGTGGATTGAAGGGACCGTGTTTCAAAACTTCAAAACTGCCATCCTAGTTCTATTATATCTCTGTTTGCTTTTTGTGTGCTTTCCTCTGATACTGGTATCTCCTCCCTCTCTTCTTTCCCTTTCTTCTCCTTTTTCCTTTGCCTCGCCTCTCCCTTCTGCTTGTCTGTCTCTTTCTTTCTTTCTCCCTCTCTCTCTCTCTTTCTCTCAGATCTGAAAGATTTTCAGAACAATAAGCACAGATACTTGTTAGCCTCCGAGAATCAACGTCCTGGCCATTTTTCCACAGCATCCATGGGCTCGCTCACCGCATCTCCATCTTCCTGCTCTCTCAGTAGTCAGGTGGGCTTAACGGCCGTCTCCAGTATCCAAGAACGGATCATGTCCACGCCCGGAGGAGAGGAAGCCATTGAACGTCTGAAGGTACGGCGGCTGGAATTGTCAAATGCCCAAAGATACACATCTTGGCTTAGCCCAGAACCTCATCTGCCCAACATCTATTAGAGTGCAGCACGAACGTGTCTCTTTAGAACAGAGTTTTCCATCCTTGGCAATTTGAAGAGGTGTAGCGTGCTGGCTGGGGAATTCTGGGAGTTGTAGTCCACGCATCTTAAAGTTGCCAAGGTTGGAAATCCTACTTTAGAAAATGGACCATTTGATACTTTCAGAAGTTACTGGGGAGGGCAGTTAATAATACGGTGAGAGCCAGTTTGTTGACATGGTTAAGGCACCAGGTTAGAAACCAGGTGACCGTGATCTCTAGTTCTCCCTTAAGCATGAAGCCAGCTGGGTGACCTTGGGCCAGTCGCTCTCTCAGCCCTGGGAAGGAAGCAAGAGCCAACCACTTTTCAAATTCTTGCGAAGAAAACCTGTCCAGGAATAATAATAATAATAATAACCAGTGCAGGTGGTTCCAGTGGTACTGGGCACACTGGGTGCTGAGCCTGGTCAGCTGCAGAAGGCCACCTTACTGGGATCTGCTTGCATAATCCGCCGATATATCACACAGTCCTAAATGCTTGGGAAGTGTTCGACCAGTGATTTGTGATACGAAACCTAACATAGTTATCTCATTTGTTGTGTGCATTGTTGTTTTTGAACATCTGAACATCTGGCTGGCTGTGCGATGAATAATAATAATAATAATAACAATAACAACAATAATAATTGTTTGGAAAAGCGGGAACAAAAGCCAACATCGGCTGAAGAACTGGCAGCTGTGATTTCACGTTGCTATTGATATGTAACAACAATAATAATGACACCTCATCAGAAAAAGAGGAAAAGCAGCCATCTTAACAAAGCATGATATAAAGTCATTCTGCTAGCATTGCTCTTGAAAATAAATAACTAGGGCAAAAAACAACCCAACGAACAGCAAAGTTTAAAACAAAAGCGGAAATAGCATTGCGAAGGACCTTAGCGGCTTCTGATTTTTTTTTTTTAAATCTTTCTTTGATGGAGACCCACATACACACCCTTCCTACTTAAAGGGAGTCCTCAGCATGGCCAACAGAATTAAAGAGAACCTCTCTCCCCCCCCCCCCCCAAGTTAACAAAGCGACCCTTAAAATTCCCGTATTTGTCCGATCTCTCTGGGAGTCATTGTTAAACCCGTCTGTAATGCAGGGACCTGGAGGCCGCTCATTAAAATGTGTGGTGCACAAAATGCCCCACTATCTGCAGACAATGCAGCCTTTGTGTGTGTGTGCTGAGCGGCTTCCAAAGGGCGCAACAGTGGAGGGCTTTTATCTTTTGGCCTTGCCAGAGCTTCCCTCTCCCTCTCCCACCCCACCCTGCCCCCATTCAGGCTTGTGAAGCAACAAGCTGGCTGGGTTGTGGATTTTGAATGCTGCCTTTTGGCACTTCCCTTCCCCCCTCCCCCATGAGAAACTTGGATGGGCTGGATGCATACAAAATTTAGGCATTTTAAAAAAAAGAAGCGAAAGGGGTGGAGGGCAAAAAAAAAAAAAGTTCTGTTTTCTCTCCAAGGCGTGTCTCTACCCTTAAGACCCCGACTTTGGCTCAAGGTGGCAGCTTCAGATTCTCTCGATTTGCAATTGTCTGTGATAGGCTTGCTGTTTTCATCAGTATTCACAGCGGCACCTCTGCTTGCAGCGAGCTTTGAAATGCCATTAAAGCTACCAGGCGGGTGAATGTGTGCAGAGCAGCATATTGTCTCCCATTCTGCGTCGCCCTTTTTTTAAAAAACGGCTTTGAGTGACAAGAGAACCAGCCCTGTTGACTGTCCTGCTCAAAAGAGAAATTTGCCATTGCCAAAGAAGCAACTCTTTGTTACATGGCTGATTGAAGATACAATCGTGGGGAAAAGCTTCAGCACTTTGAAGTATCACGAGGCTAATGTGGTTCTAGAAACCACTCTCTCTCTCAAAAAAGACACTTTTCCTGTGTCTTATACGTTATTGTGGCTCTTTACCTAACATAGGCAAGGCAGAGATTCTCAGTTTGGTTAAAGCGAGGAAGAGAAAACAGAATAGAATAGAATTCCTTATTGGCCAAGCGTGATTGGATACACTAAGGAATTTGTCTTTGGTGCACAAGCTCTCAGTGTACATTAAGAAAAAATAAAGAATCACAAGATACAACTCTTAGTGATAGTCATAGGTTACTAATAAGCAATCAAATCGTTCTAGGAAACAAATAAAACAATATAAATTGTAAAGATACAAGCAACACAGTTGTAGTCATAAGAGGGAAGAGATCGCTACCAGGAAGGATGAGAAGAGTAATAGTAACACAGTCTTGGTAAATAATTTGACAAATGTTGTGGGAATTAGTTGTTTAGCAGAGGGATGGCATTCGCGGAAAAACAGAATGGCTGGTTGGACCGAAAAAAGAAAGACCTCATACATGGAGGCTAGAGATAGTCAGAACTTCTTTCAGCAGTAAATCTGAAAGTCCTGAATTGTCGTCCTACCAGACCTCCACCCCATCCTCCCGTAACTAAAAGATGTTGGCCAACATTCTGTCTCAGATTCGAGATGGTAAGATTAATTGGAGAGATAACAAGTTATCAAGACTTTTCGACAAAGATGTCCAAAATGTTGGGCCAAATCTTGCGTAATTTTGGCCCCAGGTAGGATTCAGTTGCAGTTTTTTTTAAAGAGTTGGTAGCCTGGTCAAAAGAACGTTTAAAAATGGTTGGTTTCATAAATGTGCATCTCTTTTATGAGAGCAGGATACGGAATTTGTCGGGCTTTAGATGAAAGAAAGTGGAAGAAAATACGGGTTGAAAATGAACAGAATCCGGTGCAAAATCAAAAGCTTTTACAGAAACGCTTAGGATTTCCAGGTTCCAGGGGAATCACTGTTCACTGACCACTCTGATTATTTGCTTTAATCTTTACATTTGGCTAGATATAAATTTGTTGTGCTGAGGAGCGTAGAGTGAAACCGGTATTCGGTCTCATTCCTCCATTCTCTTTTTTTCCAGGAATCTGAGAAAATCATTGCAGAGCTGAATGAAACCTGGGAGGAGAAATTGAGGAAGACCGAAGCAATCAGGATGGAGAGGTTAGCGCTCCCAAATCATCTTGATTATTACCTTAGAGCAGTGTTTCTCAGCATGGCTTGCTAGGGAATTCTGGGAGTTGAAGTCCACGCATCTTCAGGCTGCCAAGTTGAGAAATACTGCCTTAGACTGGATCAAGACTCTCATAACTTCAAGGCGGAGTAGGATTCCACTGGGTGGTTTTGAAGTCCTGAGTTCCAAAGGCAAAAAGAAGGGAGAGGTTGGAGTTGAGAGGACAAAAATGTAGAATAAAAAGGGTTATAATCCAGATAGAACTCTAATTCTGAAGAAATGGAGTGGCCAGTGTGAGAGTCGAGAAGGGGAAGGGTTACTTCTGTGGATAGACCATTCAAAACAGTAGAAGAACATTAAGAGATAAAGGAAGAAATCATATTCAAATGAAATCAAATTAAATTCATGCAGATACATAAATATGAAATGAAGGTTCCCAGATACTTCTGCAAAAGAAGTTGACTTGGGTTTATTTGGATCCTCTTAATAGCAATAGCCCTTACGACTTATATACCGCTTCATAGTGCTTTTACAGCCCCTTCTAAGCAGTTTACAGAGCCAGCCTCTTGCCCCCAACAATCTGGGTCCTCATTTTACCCACCTTTGAGGCTGAGCCAACCTCGAGCCTGGTGGGATTTGATCTGCCAAATTGCAGTAAGAGTAGCTTGCAGTACTGCACTCTAACCACTGAGGCACCTTAATGCTATCTTACCTGGCATTTTTACCCTAGAGGACACCAGGAGAAGATAATAACAATAGCTCTAGCACTTATATACCACTTTACAGTGCTTTACAGCCCTCTCAAAGCGCTTTACAGGATCAGCTTATTGCCCCCCAATAATCTGGGTCCCCATTTTACCAAATGGGGGAATGGAAGGATGGAATATCTCAGATGGATGGAAGGTTGAGCCAACCTTGAGCCAGTCAGGTTCAAACTCCTGGCTGTGGGCAGAATTAGCTTGCAATCTAACCCTGTGCTACTATCGTTCTAATAAAAAAAAACATGTTTTGTAAAAACTGGGAAAGTTTGCAAACGTGTTAGTTCTAATTTATATCTCATTATATGATCTCTTCTTACTGTTTTTTTTTCTTTCTGTCCTGTGCATTTTCCCCAAATAAACTAAATCAAAGAAAAAACTAAATTCCTCTCTCCCACTTCCACCGAAATTTAGAAATCGAATTTGAAGTGTGTTTTTCGAGGACTTCTTAACCACTTCTTGTCCATCTTCCACAGAGAAGCTCTCTTGGCTGAAATGGGGGTCGCCATCCGAGAAGATGGAGGCACCCTTGGCGTCTTCTCCCCGAAAAAGGTAAGTAGTGCTATAAAATGGTTTCAGGTCCCTTCTTTTAGGCAATCTGAGATCCTAACCACGGTTGTGGGGGGATCCAACAATCTGCTGGGGCTTTTCTGCAGAAATGGCCGCGCTGTGATCGACCCGCTCCTTGTGTGATTCTGTGCTTTTTTTGAAATACGGTTTTGAGATGCTTTCAGTAAAAAAACAGTATCGATTAAAACAATAGTATTTAGAAGCGTTTGTGCTTTTCCGTAGGTTGGATATCAGACATTTATTTATTTGTCGAATTTATTAGCCGCCTATCTCGTTGTGGGGCTATTCTAGAGGGCTTGCAATAATGAACAGGAAGAAAAATGAAAGGCGTGTAAACAGAACAGAGGTTAAATAATAGAACAATAAAATAAGCAATGACGAAGGAACACAGTAAAAATAAATACATCGGTATGATAACCAGAAAAGATGCATGGGGTGGAGAGCATGCGGGTTCTGAATTCAAATGGTGCTGAACAGAGCTCTTCAGAAAATGCTCCCATGAACCATTTCAAAGTGATTTTTCAACACCACGGTCGTAATTTTTGTAGCTTTGTGCCTCCCATTTGGGCCACGCTCCAGCAGATACTGAGGTCTAAGATGAGATTCTGGACCCTTGCCGAAGCTTTCTGGCTGGGGAATTCTGGGAGTTGAAGTCCACGCAGCTTAAGGTCGCCAAGGTTGAGAAAGATTGCACCATAGTATGATTGTCTCATGGTTCCCCTAAGCGAAACCCTCTTTCCCCCTCTTTTTCTCATCGTCTGAATTTCCTTCCGTAGATCTTCTCTCAGAGACCATTAACTTTGTTTGATGACTCTTTTGATACCTTTGCGGTTGACCAGGTTTGTCTTTGTGCCGACATCGAGGCTTAAGCAGAGATTGCAGCTTGTGAAAGTAGAATTAGAAGGATTCACCCTTCTTCTCCTTCTCCTTTACATCCATCCTGGTTAGCTGCTACTTCCCTGTCTTTCATTGGCAATCTCTCACGGGCGCAACAAGATCCAGAGACACTCTGAACAAATGGGGCTGTCTGGTAGCGTCTGTCCCTTTGCGGTTGTGGTGATATGCAGACAATAACACACACAAAGACACCTGCCTGTTGTGTCCCGATCAGTATACATTTCAGGGCCTCATGGCAGTGTGAATGCAATAAACGTTCCTAGTTTCTGGGCAAGATCTGTTTAAATCTTGTCTTTTAGATTTTAAATGTTATGTCATATAGTATGCCTTATTCAGAGTATTTGCACCAAGACAAATTCCTTTTCTGTCCAATCACACTTGGCCAATAAAGAATTCTATTCTATTCTATTCTATTCTATTCTATTCTATTCTATTCTATTCCATTGTGATGCTTCCAACATGAAACAAACAAACATTGTTAATCTGTTCCTTTCACTCCTTGTGCTTTTGTAGCCTTTGTAACTAAGGAGAAACTGCCCTTAGTTTACAAGCTAGAGCTGCCCGATGTGAATCTTCAGTGAAGGGCGTATTCCTGCTGCTATTCTAATATTTTGTTTTTCCTCTGTGTTTACTGGCACTCGTTGGCCAGATATTCACGCCAAGGCCTTGTGATTTGTTGGCTGGTTCCAGTGGGATGTTCTCACCAAAGAAGGTTGGTTGAGTGACTGTACAGGTAGTCCTTGACTTACGACCAGAATTTCTGTTGTTAAATGAGAAATTTGTTAAGTGAATTTTGCCCCCTTTTTACGACATTCCTTGCCACAGTTGCTAATTGAATCACTGCAGTTGCTAAGTTACTAACATGGTTGTTAAGTGAATCCCTATTGACTTTTGCTTGAGAGAAGGTCGCAAAAGGGGATCATATGACCCCGGGACGCAGCAACGGTCATAAACATGAACCAGTTGTTAAGCGTCGTACCTCTGAAAAACAGTCAGTCGTCTCTTTTTTCTGGACCGTCGTAACTTTGAACTTACAAACTGTTGTAAGTTGAGGACTACCTGAAGTAGCTTTAGATCCCATTAGGAATGTTTGTAGCAAATAGATTCTTGAGACTTTCCAGCAAAGCTGCGATTTGAAGGCACGGGAGATCCCAGTAATCTGCAAGGTTGCTTTGTAGAAGTTGCTCAGTAGAAATTCCGCAATTTGTTTTTCTGAGCCAAATCGGCTGAGAGCATTTTTCTTCAATTTAGCTATTTCCATACGAGATGAACTACACACTCCTAACTTTTTGATTCAGTGGTGAAAATGTCCAGTATTTTTTTTTAAAAAAAAAATCATTTCAACCTGTCCAGTTCCTGCTCCCTTTTTGAAGAAGTAGATGTTTCTCGCAGAAAGAGGAGAGAAAACAGAGAAATTGGTAGCTACTGAACCAAGGATAATCTGAAGAACCTGTTATCCCTGGCTGTCACTCACCAAACCTATTCCTTTAAAATAAATACATGTTAAAATAACTACCGTTTAGCCCACAGTACCCCCAGTGTGAAAAGTTTTCGATGTTTCTGTTCTTCCTGGGATGCGGTTCTCTTTCTCAGGGTTTTCAGTGCACTCTGAGCTTGGTTTTCATGCCCCTGTTGGAATCTGATTCTGAGGGAGAGGTGGAACAGCTGACAGGGAGTGGGTATGGCTCCAGTGGCTGTGGAGGAAACTGGGGAAGGGTACAGTCCGGCTGGGCATTCAGAGGAAGACCCAGGCCCACCCCCTTTTCATCCTAGGGCACGCAGGGAGGAACGGAGAAGGGAGCAACGTGGGTTACGGGGGAGGAAAAGGCCCCGATTCCCTTAATTAGCTGCAGCTGGGAAAACAGGATAAAGAAGGTGTTTGCGCACAGCTCCTTGCTGGAAGCAAAGCATTAATTATCTTTGTTTGTCATGTCTTATCTGAGTTCTGGCGTCCTCCCAACTGTGTGTGTTTTGTTATCTTTTGAAGTCTGCAATCCCTTATCCTGCCCTGTCTCGTTAATTGCTGCAGCAAGTGGTTTGTGTTGGTTTTGATTTATAATTTATATGTACTTTGGGTTCGGACTGAATTTCTTCCCTTTAGAAACTGTTCTTGGGAGAGATTTTTTCTCCAGCCGATGATAACTGGACATTGGGGGACAAGTTGGAGGTCTTAAAGGGACTTGACCTACTTTTGTGACTTTGTTGCTTTCGTGCCACGCCCCTTTGGGTCATCACATTGATGGTTTTCTCGCAGATGTTTCTTTACCAAACTAGGTAATCTCATCAGTGCTACGTTATCAAGTTTGAGTAATGAAACGTCCGCAAGGAAGCCACCAAGCTCGGAGCGTACCGAGGACCCCCTCATTTCAACCCTGAGCCACGCATATTCTCCTTTATTGGCGTTCTCTTCCTGCACTGCAATAAAATGGCATTCCTTCAAGAATTTTCTCCTGGGAGGGCCAAAGCAGCTTTGGATTTGGAAACTGCCGGCTCTTCTGTGAGAAGCCCCCGTGGGGAAGAGGGCGTGTAATTTCAAAGTCTGCTGTGTTTATTTCAGACCCCTCATTTGGTGAACCTGAATGAGGACCCCCTGATGTCAGAGTGCCTGCTTTATTACATCAAGGACGGCATAACTAGGTAAGCGGCACAATCCGAATCATTTCTGATCCCGTCTTGCATTTGTGGCTTGGAGCGGAGAAGTTTTTGCCTGTTTTTAAGAAGCCGTGACAATGCCTTTAGAAGTCCTCTTTTGTCGGGCACAGGGTTGGTCAGGCGGATGCCGAACGGCGCCAAGACATCGTCCTGAGTGGAGCTCATATCAAAGAGGAGCACTGCATTTTCCGAAGCGAGAGGAACCCCAACGGCAGCGGTAAACAGGAGGCGGACCCTGGATATTTTAAATCAGGGGTTCCCAACCTTCCGGGCTGTGGCCTGTTTTTTAACCAGGCTGCGCGAGTGGCTGGCTGGTAGATGTGTCCGTGTGTGTGCAGCTCAATTTACACAAGTGGCGGATCAGCCATGCGCCAGCCCGCTTCTTCTTGCACAGCCCGGTTCCAAAAGGGCCATGACCTTTGGAATTGGGGACCCCTGTTTTAAAACCCCTTAGCCAGCTTCCCCTGACTCCGTCCTTCGTATGATATGTTGGATCTCTCATCCACAGTTCAGACACTGACTGGTGAGTGTTTTCTCCTTCTAGTGGTTGTTATCCTGGAACCGTGTGAATGCTCAGAGACCTACGTCAACGGCAAGAGAGTGATCCAGCCAGTCCAGCTGCGTTCAGGTAAAAACGTTCATGAGGAAATGCGTCTTGAATGGCTGACCCATCTGGCTTCATTTTACGTTCAGGATATTATTTGACTAGCTCGATACCCGTGCTTCGCTATGAAACTATGTGATCGGGCTTAATTTTGGGGGAGGAAAATAAGGAGAAAAAAAATTGTGCCTCCGCCTACCAGCATCCATCGGTATTCATCTGGCTAGCGTCCTGTCTGTGAGAGAGTTGAGGGCTCTTTGGAAACTGAAAGAGTGTTTGCTGTGTGAGCAAGAAGGAGGCAGCAAGGAGCCTGGGCGTGGCTTAGTTCAACTGTTCTGTACTAAAGCTGCTTGGTGCTGTGAAACTGAAACTCCTCTGCTTGTGTTTTGCCTTTGGAAGAGATTTCTTTTCAGGTGGGGAGGGGGAGTAGAACTCCTTAGCATCAGAGCGTGTTAATAATAATAATATATGTAATACTAATGTTCTGATGGTCATTTCGAAAAATCCTTTTTTAGTGAGCCCCTAGAAGCCAAGAGGAACATACCAAATTTTCAAGTTTGTAGGCTTTATGGTTCTGGAGGTTTTGTGATGATGCATGTGAGTGGTCTTTCGCCAGGTGTGGGTGGTGGGCTATCTAGTCCACAATTACTAGCCTTGGCTAGTCATTGGGAAGAGCTTTGCGGGTCTACCAAGCCTTTTCACAAATGTGCATTGAATTGAGGTCCTTCTGTATGTTGAGCAGAGTTTCTCAACTTTGGTGACTTGAAGTCCTCACACAAGTTGAGAAATCCCCAAGGTCGACCATGTACTCTCCCGTCAACCTCTTTTCCTTGCTCCAAATTACAATGGTTTGTCCCCTGGTGTTGATTGTCCTGGAAAGCGTCGTTGCCTGAGTTTGTCCTTCTCCCAAAAAGGACCCTTGGCCAACCCTCTTTTGTCGCCCCCTCCAGGAAATCGCATTATTATGGGCAAAAACCACGTCTTCCGCTTCAACCACCCCGAGCAGGCGAGGGCTGAAAGAGAGAAGACGCCCTCGGCTGAGACTCCCTCCGAACCAGTCGACTGGACTTTTGCCCAGAGGGAATTGCTGGAGAAACAGGGAATTGATATGAAGCAGGAGATGGAGAAAAGGTAAGGCAGAAACCCAGCCAGAAACCAAACCAAGTCTGCCATTATCCCCCGTGAAATGGAGGCAGAGCAATCCCTTTTTAACTGGAACATCATTCACGCCGTCTTCATAGCAACAGATAACATTCAAATTAACAGAGTTGGAAGGGACTTTGGAGGTCTTCTAGTCCAACCCTCTGCTTGAGTAGGAGACCTTACGCCATTCCAGACAAATGGCCATCCAGCCTCTTCTTAAAAGCCTCCAGTGATGGAGCACCCACAACTCCCTGAGGCCAGTTGTTCCACAAGTTAATTGTTCTCACGGTCACAAATTTCTTCCTTAGTTCTAGGTTGCTTCTCTCCTTGATTAATTTTCCATAGATTATTTCTTGTCCTACCTTCCGGTGTTCTTTGTGGCACCCCTTCAAATATTGGAATATCGCTGCATGTCACCCCAGTTCCTTCTTTTCTCTTAGACTAGCCACACCTGGTTCCTTTTTAGCCAGATCATCTCTTCTCTGTCCTTTTGTGACGGTGCTTCGTTTGATAGAATTTTGTTCAGCCCTGAGATGGATTATGATTTATTAGCCAGTTTCATTCCTTCTGAACTACGTACTTGTGCTGCGAATACAACTCAAGCCGACAAAGTAAGTTCCTAAAAAACTGTACGCATTGTTGGAGGAGTGATCTTACGTCTAGAGCGGCCAAAAATCAGGAGGAGTCTGGCGCACCTTTTCTAACTCCAAATATTTTCTAGGTAGTCCTCAACTTACAACCACGATTGAGCTCAAAATTTGTGTTGCGCTGTCTTTGACTATGAATTCTGTCTTACCTGCTTTGGCCAAAATGGTGCTTTGGGCTTCAAATAAATAATGAATGGCACATACTGACAAACAGTAATGCTGTCTTCCCGGAACCTTGCCTCTTTAGTTTTAGAAGAGTTTTGAATGCTTTCCTTCAAGAAATAAATGTACAGCTTTATCCCCATCTCCCCAAATGGTTCATCCCGGTCAGTGATTTAGTCATAGGTAATCCCCAAACCCATTTTAGATCCTTTCTTAAGATAGTGTTGCTGACCCAGCTCCCCAAAAACGACAAACCACCTGAAGTTAACTCAGAGATTCCTTTATTAGGAATGCCGACAGCCCCGGTACAGAAGCCTCTCTCTCAGGCTAACGAATCTGTCCGTCAGGAAGATGAATAATCTGCCACACCTATTTATCTCTGCCCCCTGCCATTTATCCCCACAGCTAGGGTGGGGCTTCGCTAGCAGCGGTGGCTTTTCTGTCCCAAAGGACCGGCCCATTGATTTCCACTGCTCTCCTCTCCTCTGCCTTCTGTGCATCTGCGCGTCAGGCACTGGGCCCAGCTGTTTCTCCTCTTCCAGGGGGTTGTTGACTCTCCATCTGAGGGCTGATGGAGGGCCCAGGCTCCACCTCTGTCCCTCTCTGCCAACTCCATTCCCTCTTCCCCCTCGGAGCTCTCAGGTTGCCTTGATGCTAACCCTGACTCCTCCGACTCCTCCTCCGACTCCTCCTCCGACTCCTCCTCCGATTCGGCTGCTAGAGGGGTTGCGACCGACAGGCCACAACAGATAGTCTGAACACGGGACCGCCCATCATATTCTTAAGTATTCTTAAATCGGCTCTTCAGCAAATAGATGCATCCGCTAGTTCTCAACTTATCGACTGCCATTGAGACCAGTCCTGCCAAGCAAGGCTTCCATTCTTAAGCGAGTCAGCGCTCGCGTTTTGATCCTGCGACCATGGAAACGCTGCCATGGCCGTAAGCGCAAGGACTGGTTGTAAGTCACGGGTTTTTTTTTCCCCTCAGTGCCGCTGTGACTTCGAACGGTCGTTATACGAACGGCTGCAGTTCAAGGAGTCCCTAGTAAGCAGTTTTTGTATCTCTCTGCAGACTTCAAGAGATGGAGATTCTGTACAAGAAGGAGAAAGAAGAAGCGGACCTCTTACTGGAGCAGCAGAGGCTGGTAGGTGTCCCTGCCCCGTACCCGGGCCAATTTTACGAGAGATTTCTCTGCTTATTCCCAGAGCTAGTTGCCCTTTGGCTGTTAGTGTGCTATTCTGGTTTTACATTGTTATCAGACAATGCACCGATCTCTCTCTCTCTCTCTCTCTCTCTGGTTCAACACCGAGTTAAGCTTCTTCAACAGACAGAATAAAAAAAGGTGTTGATCTGTTGTTTCTCCGCACCTCACACCCAATTCCAGACCTCTCTGAAATTACCTTGCCAACCTCCTCCAAATGAGGGTTGGAGATGGGTCTTACAAGTACTAACTGGGCGTCTCCGAGGAGAGGCGCCCCAGATCCATTTGCCTGCCAGGTTTGGTCCCCCTCCGGGATCTCCAGAATGACGGCTGTGGGGGATGCATGCCTTTCATCTCTCTGTCTTTGCCCTGTCCTGCCTTGCATGGAGTCTGAATCCTTAGCAAGAGAAAAAGGATCGTGCATGAAGAAGGAGGGAGAATTGGTGCGGGGGGGGCTGGCAGATCGAGCCTTCACAGAGCTGGACTTCACACACAAAATTCCTCGCCTCTCACAAACAAGGGGATGAAAGGAAACCTTGACCTCCCAACTTCCTAGACCAGGGGTGTCAAACTCAACACCCGGGGACCATACCCGTCCTGTGGCCGACTTAGATATGGCCCCCGTAGGGACGCCCTGAAAATAGATAAGGACTGGCCCCGCGATGCCTCTGCCAGAGAAAATGGAGCTCCATTTTGGCTGGCAGAGGGGTTGCAGGAGGCTGTCGCAGCTGAAAATGTCCTTTTCCCAGCCAGACAGTTGTTAAGAGAGTTTTGCCCCCAGTTTACAAGGCTTTCCTAGTTGTTAAGTGAAACAGTGCAGTTGTTAAGTTAGCAACAGGCTTGTTAAGTGACTCTTTAAGAGGTGCAGTGGTTAGAATGCAGTATTGCAGGCTGACTGCCCACTGCCAACAGGTCGAACCTGACCGGCTCAAGGTTGACTCAGCCTTCTGTCCTTCTAAGATCTGTCCAGTGAGGACCCAGATTGTTTGGGGGCAAGAGGCTGACTCTGTAAACCTCTTAGAGAGGGCTGGAAAACCCTGTGAAGCAACATATAAGTCTTAAGTGCTATTGCTATCCAGCTTCTCCATGGACTTGGCTTGTCAGAAGGTTGCAAAAGGGGATTGATTACATGATCCCAACCAGTGGTGGTATTCAAATAAAGCTGCCACTGGTTCGGTGGGCGTGGCTTGGTGGCCACGCTTTGCGCGCATGCACACTTTGCGTGCACGCGCGCGCCAAACACGCACTTTGCGCAGAGGCGTTCTAACTTGCCTCCTGCAAGCCTGCATGATGCTGGTCGCTGCAGCAGCTGCCGCGCAGCGCTATTCGGCGCCGCGCAAAGCAGCTGCGCTTTGAATTCTGGCCATAAAAGTGAGTATAAGAGCCTGGGCGGACGGGTGGGCCAACCACAGAGCAGCAAAGAGAACCGGTTCGGTCTCCACTGCTCATCGCCGCTACCGGCTCTCCAGAACCGGCCAGAACCGGTCGAATATCACCACTGATCCCAACACACTGCAACCGTCATAAATACAAGTCAGTTGCCAAGCATCTGAGTTTTGAACAGGGGGATGCCGCAATGGGCATAAGTGTGAAAAATGGTCATCAGTCGCTTTTTTTTTGGTGCCGTTGTAACTTTGAATAGTCACTAAACGAATGGTTATAAGCACTACCTCTAGTCTCTGGTTATCATTAGAAAGTGGTTCTTCCCTAGACCTTCCCCCTCCCCACTTTGAAAAGCCTCTAATTATCCTGTTTGCATAGTTTAGAAACACGGACCCTATCAAAGACCGTCCTTTTAACAAAAATGTGTCTTTATTTATTAAATGTCTCTTTATTTTTAACGTAACATTAAAAAAACATACCATACATATGCAGTAGTGCCAAAATACTTCAATGAGAGAGTTTTGTTCCAAACTTTCTTTCCATGAATGGAATAAAATTCATGGCAATGGAGAGTTTTCCTACATCACTCTTCTTTCAGCAGTATTTAGGGCCTCCCAGGCACTAGTTTCTGGCATTTTGGGAATGCTGTGCAGTATGGTTTAGGGAATAGTTGGTGGGGATATATAACTTCTTAAGTAATTAGGTCAATGTTATAGACTCCGAGCCCGTATAAGTACACTTCCGATTAAATTTCAGGTGCATGATAGAGTAATTCTCAGAATCTCTGGGGGAAATTTATTCAAAACTTGTTTGGAATGGGTATTTTTTTAACCTCTTCACCAATTTCATTAATATAGAAGCATTTTATGTGGCTTAAAAAAAAGCATGACGTTTGCAACAGGCAGGCATAACTTATGGGTCGGTTCATATGCATGAGAGTGAGATGTGGAGCGGTAGAAAACCTTAATAAAATTCTCCCCCCCCCCCCAAAAAAAAAAAAAATCTTGGGCATTTTTAGGATGATCTGTAATAACCAAAAGGCATTTCTGCCTTTAAACCAAGAATCACTGGCAAATGGAAAGAACCTGGGCAGCCGTATTTATTTTATTCTTGGCTGGCCAAAAAATTAAAATAAAGATTTTTGCGATGGTGTTTGTATTGTTTTCTTTGTCAGATTTATAACCCACTTTTTCTCCAGGTGGCATGTATAGCATTCTTTACCTCTGTGAAATAGAGGGGGTTGAGAGGGGGTTTGAGGGTGGATTTCAACTTAGGTTTACTCTGTCCAACATTTTAACCACCTGTTATGACACTTTCTAACCTTGATGCTAGTGGCTGCTTCTGAACTTGGTTTCTCTCTGATTCTCTAACCCTTTTCTGGCTGCTTTTCTAGTCAACTGGACTGTCAATCTGAATCCACGTGCACAGCACTTACTAACCCAGTGCTAACTCCACCTAACCTTGGCTGTCCGTCCGATCATTCTGCGGTGACTGTCGGGTACCACTCCTCGTGCAAAGAAGAATCTCTTTTTTTCCGTCCCCTTCTAATGAAATAACTTGGCGTCTGTAACTAGCCTCCCCCCAAAAAAGTTTGGCGGGTTTTACACATCGATAGCACGAAGTGTCTTACGTCCACCTCTCTACAGGTACTTGGTTTTGGCTCTTCTAAGAGTTTCATATGGATTGGATTTTGGAAAATGTCTTGGCATATTCTTGGAGGAGAATGAAAATCCCACAAAATTTAGATATGTCTGGAATTAAAGAAATCTACAGAAGACCGTTAGAGATAGTTTAAGACTCCAGTTAGATGTTTACTCCCTTCCTTTGTTCCTTTGCCTTTTATCCCCTTCCCCGAATCGTTTCTCCCTAATTTTGAGTTGTCTTTTTTTTTTCTTTTTTTTTCTTGTTCAGAATTTTCCTTCTTTTCTCCAAATTTTAATTTTGTTTATTTTGGGGCCACCTCTCGATTGTTTTTTTTCCCCAAAGGATGCAGACTCTGATAGTGGAGATGACTCGGACAAGCGGTCTTGTGAGGAGAGCTGGCGGCTGATTACTTCCCTGAGAGAGAAGCTGCCCCCCAGCAAGTTACAAACCATTGTTAAAAAATGTGGCCTCCCCAGCAGCGGCAAGAAGCGCGAGCCCATCAAAATGTATCAGATCCCTCAGCGCCGACGCCTCAGCAAGGACTCCCGGTGGGTGACCGTTTCCGATCTCAAGATCCAGGCCGTGAAGGAGATCTGCTACGAGGTCGCCCTCAACGACTTCCGGCACACCCGGCAGGAGATCGAGGCCCTGGCCATCGTCAAGATGAAAGAACTCTGCACCCTGTATGGGAAGAAGGACCCCAACGAGCGCGACTCGTGGCGAGCCGTGGCCCGAGACGTTTGGGACACGGTGGGGGTGGGCGACGAGAAGATCGAGGACCTGCTGCTAAGCGGGAAAGGCATCGCTGACGTGGACGATCTGAAGGTCCACATTGACAAGCTGGAAGACATCCTCCACGAGGTGAAAAAGCAAAACAACCTGAAGGACGAGGAGATCAAGGTCCTCAGGAACAAGATGCTCAAAATGGAGAAGGTGCTGCCGCTCATGAAGTCCCAAGAGCTGAAAGGGCCAGCCGCTACAGCCGCCACGAAGCCGAAAGAGCCCCCCGGCCTGGGAGTCAGTGCAGAAGGAAATGTAAACGAGGACAGGAAGAGTGGCTCCGAGAAAGAAGTCCGGGTTTCCCAGTTAATGGAGGAAGACCCTGCCTTCCGGCGTGGGCGAATGCGCTGGATGAGGCAGGAACAAACCCGCTTCAAGAACCTGCAGCAGCAGGAGATCACCAAGCAGCTCCGCCGGCAGAACACGCCGCACCGCTTCATCCCACCGGAGAACCGCAAGCCCCGTTTTCCTTTCAAAAGCAACCCGACCCACCGGAACTCCTGGAGCCCGGGCACCCACATCATCATCACCGAGAACGAGGTCATCGAAGTGAGAATCCCCAAGGAGGAAGAGAAGAAGGCGGAGGAGGCGGAGGAGACCCAAACCCTGCCTGCTAAAGCCCCCGTCATGCTCCCCAAGGACCCTCCTCCACTTTGGAACAAGCCCGGGCTGCCCAAAGCTCCGGATCAGATCCAGATCAAGAGGCAACCCTTGAATCCGCAGCCCCAGCCTTGCCCCCTGCAGCCAAACCCCTCCACCCCGGTGCGCTGGAGAAGCCATTCCCTCAACGGCCAGCAGAGGGCTTTCCGGCGCCAGTTGTCGGACTCCTCTGAGTCCTTGCCCTCCCAGGGCACAACCCAACCCCCAAATCTGCAATCCTTCCATCAGAGGCGCCACCTTCACCAGCACTGGCAATCTTACAGTGCCCACGGCAGCCTGGAGAGCCGAGCCAGACCGGCGGATCGGCCGAACCCCTGCAACCAGTTTGTGACTCCTCCGCGCATGAGGCGCCAGTTCTCCGCCCCAAACCTCAAAGCCAGCCGAGAAACCACGGTTTGATTCTCCCACCGGTGGAAGAGAGAGCTCTGCCCATCCTGACAGGGTGGGATTGGGGAGGGGGGGGGAAAACGTGGGCAGTGTCCACAAACAATTGGCCTCGGGCCTCAAAAGAGAGGAACTTTGCCGACCGACATACAGAGCACAAGACCGCACATTTTCTACCTATCTACCAACTGCCTGTGAAACATTTGTTGTTTTCTGTTTTATTTTTATTTTTAGAATTGTGGAAATCTCTTACTTTGGCCTTGGGGCAAGGCCTCTGTGTCGGTTTGGGAACTATCAGCGTATCATCATTTTTAGGGGGTGGGGGAAACAATGAACACAAATATGGACTTTTTAACTCACATTTGTGTCGATCTTTGGACAATCAGCAAGGCTCTCCTTCCCACTTCAATTGCGTATTTTATTTGGATTGTATTCCGACACCTCTTCAAAGCCTCGAAAGCCACCCCTAAAGTTTTGGAATTGGGGCAGATTATTAAGACAGGGCAGCTAATTCCTCTAAAGTTCTCGGGGGGGGGGGTGTTGTTCTATAGCTGTGATGGCGAACCTACGGCACGAGCCATTTGTGCGGGCACGCGAGCCCCATGCAAACTTACCTCACTGTGCATGTGCGCGTCTCCTGGCTGATTTTTGGCCAGTTTGATGCCTTTTTTGGGCTGCCAGAGGCTTGAGGGAAGCCTCTGCAGGCTTTGCAGGTCGAAAAATAGGCCCGTTTTGTCACTTCCGGTATTTCCAGAAATACAGGAAGTGATGAAACGGGCCTATTTTTCAGCCTGCAGAGGCCTTCTCAAGCCTCTGGCAGCCCAAAAAAGGCCTCAAATTGGCCGAAAATGAGCTGGGAGATGCAGTGCAGGTAAGGGGACAGTGGGGTGTGTGGGAATCGTGCGCGCATGCACAGACAATTTTTGGCACAGGAGCCCAACAAGGTTAGCCACCACTGTTCTATAACATATAACAGAATAACCGAGTTGGAAGGGACCTTGGAGGTCTTCTAGTCCAACCCCCTGCTCAAGCAGGAGACCCTATTCCATTTCAGACAAATCAAACAGAGCAGATTTTGCTGCTTTGGGATTCAACAGGAAGAGACCCAGATGTGACTGACCAGGAATCACATGGTTTCTTCCGAGAGTCCCATTGGGGGGGATTGACAGGCAGTTTGATCATTTTCATCCACTTAAAGAGCTCTTTGCAAAAAACAGAGGCCTTCACATTCAGATGAGGGGAATGTACGTTGCCTGCGGGAAGGCACAATCCAAGGCAGGCAGAAATCTTCCTACTACAAAAAAACCCCACAAGCATTTGGGGTTGAGGTTCCAACCAGAAAGCTCCAGTCAGAGATTTCAAAAGCATTAGCTTGGCGTGTGATTCTCCAGCGGGCTAAAACTCCCCCCCTTTAAAAAAAAGAAAAAAAGAAAAAGCATAGGTACATTAAAAAGTGCCTTTGATTTTGCAGCCTCTCTGGAGCCAAAATTTTTAGCTGTCGTTCTTTTGTGCGCAGTTTTGTAACCAGAAGCACAATTTTGCTCTACACAAATGGAGCAAAGCGTTTTAGGTCCTGTGAAAAACCAGAATTCTCTCATGTAGAATAGGATTTAGGGGTAATAATACCTGGCGGAGTTCAATTCTTACAGGTGAATGGGGCGATTCACGAAAGAACGTGAGAGAATTAAAATTAAGCAAGTATAAAATTAAGCAAGTGTCTCTTGCTTAAGTGAATCCTATCCATCCCTATGAAAAGTATAATAAGGAAGAGAATTTTGGATCTCTCAACCCGAGAAGCTTGAGATTGGTAGTGAAATTTTGGCAGCGGGAGTTGCTTGGGGGTCCTTGGTTTTTTACCCTGCTGCTTTCTAAATATTATTTCAGTTTCCTTTCTCCTTGCCTCCTTTTTGAGTGATGCTTCCCTGGGGAGATTAATTGAGGAGATCTACCCAAGGGGTGAGTGTTATCCTGCTCGCTTCGCTGCAGACAAGTTGTGCCTGAGTGATGGACAATTGAAAAGTTTGCTTTAAAAGTTTTAAAAATGGGTTGGGGATGGAAGGCCAGCCATCCCTGCTTCCTTTGCACCTGCAGTGTATAAGCTCATAAATTAGGCCACGTTAATTTTACTCAGACCTCTTCTCTACTGAGGGCCACAGGAGAGAGCTTCTAGTTGAATGTAGAATCACATAGCGCTGGAAGGGAACTTGGAGGTCTTCTAGTCTAACCTCCAAGGCTCATTAAAAAAAAAAGGGCCCTTTTTAATGACAGTGATTTCAATGAAACGAGGGTTGAGTTGGGCAGCAGACAACAGTAAGAAGCTATAGCTGCCTTTTAATTTCTCCTTTCATTTTTCTTTCTTTCATCATCATTATCATCGTTATTTTAATTGGCCTTAATCAAAAAAATCTGTCCAAGTTTGCGTTCCTCAAAATAGATTCTGCCAGATTCTTCTTCAGTCCCTACTGTGCCTTCTCCTTCTGATTGTTAAGCAATATAGATTATATAGGTAAATATATATATATATATATGTATATATAAGTATATATATTTTAATGCTCTAGTTAAGTTGCCTTTAAAATAATTTCTTGAAGCTTTTGAGCATGAACCTATTCGCAGTTACTGTAAAGGAGGAAATTGTTTCTTCCAGTGAAGTGATGGAATCTGAAAAAAAACAAAAAAAAACCAGTCTGTTGTTTTTTATGTGGTTTTGATGATTTTTTTTAAAACTACAAGCCTGCGTTTTGTGAAAAGCAGATCTGCTTGTGCTTTTTAACCAGTCATTTCAATAAATTACAAAAGATTTTTACGAAGCCTGTCATGTCACTTGGTTGGGGAGTCAAGCGGCAGCTTTTGGGAAACCCAAGGTGCTAATGTTGTTTTTGCTTTTTTTTTTTAAACCAAAGGGGGTGTGAAGAACACAGTTAGTTTTTCTTCTCTTAATGCTGGCCTTTTGGAGGAATCTGATGAGAAAAGGGGGGCCTAAGATTCAGGACCCAGTGAGATCCTTTCCTAGTTCTTAAATGGCAAATCCCTCTGATGTAAAGCGAGCCTTGTAAAACCTTTTGCCTGGGATGTAACTTAGTTTAAACTTTCATGGGCAGGAAAAGGGTGGGTGGTTTTTACATATCACCCCCCCCCCCAAAAAATGGCATTCTTAGTTACCTGGAATGAAGTGCAAATCGATGGATACGTTGCAAAAGACTTAAGTCGATCGAAATGATAACATTCTGGGTTGCTGCTCTTTCTGGAATTCACATATTTTTATCGGTCAAAGGGGGGACTAAAACAATGAGATCCAGCCCAACTTTGGGGGGCATTTTAGTCACATCTCAGCCTTTTCAGTTGTTTTATCCAGCCTCCTTTGATATCTCTGTTCCTTGAAGTACAGGCACTTAACAACAGCTCATTTAGTGACCGTTCAAAGTTACAACGGCCCTGAAATAAAAAAGTGACTTAACGACCATTTTACATAGCTAGGACCTTTGCATCATGATGCAACCCCATGAGGATGTGATCAGAATTCAGATGCTTGGCAACTCGTTCATCCTTTTATGACCGGGTTACTGCTTTAATGACTCCAGCGATTGACTTAACAACTCTGTCCAGGAAGGTCATAAAATGGGGGTCAAAAGTCCCTTAACAAGTGTTTCACATAACGACCAAAATGTTGGGGTCCAATTTTTTGGGTCGTAAGTTGAGAGGGCTATCTGTAACCTTAAATAAATTCATGAACTGAATTTATTTGCTAAAGAGCTCCTTTTCTTGGAGTCTCTGACCTATAATCGGGTGGGATGCTACCGGTTCTGCCTGGCTCTGAAGAGCAGCAGACACCGAACCAGTTCTGTGTTTGCTGCTGTTTGGCCCACCCACCTGCCTGGACCCTTACCTGTCCTTTATTTCCTGCTTTTTCAACCTGGGCTGCTTTGCGCGGCACAGCTGAGGTTGAAAAAGCAGGACAGAAGAGGATTTTCGAACGCTGCGCGCTTGCACGCAGCGCTTTTCAGCTGTCTGGGCGGCAGAGCTTAAGTTTTTTTTTTACACGCGTGTGCGCAGCAAAACATAGTCACCGAATTTCGTAGTAACACCGGTTGAATTCCACCCCTGCCTGTAATGTCTCTTTGGTCGGTCTGGAGAAGCCAGGTGACTTGCTAGCGTAAACCATTGATTGTTGAATTAAGAAGAAATCCGTCGATCCTTTTCGTGGATCCAAATGCTGCCTTTGGGAGGGTCTCGGGGAAACTTGCCTTCTCCTTCTTAATCCTTCCCTTTCCACCACTTGGTTTTCCATTCCTGGGATCCATTTCTTCCCATCGCGGATAAAAGAGCCGCCCTCAAACATCTATGAAAATAGTTCTTCAGATTTCCTTCTTTCTTAATCGTTGGTTTTTCTTCTTTTGTGACCTTCTGACAAGCAATGGGGAAGCCAGATTCAATTAACTTAGCAGCTGCAGGGATTCCCTTGACAACCTTTTGTAGCAAGGAAGGTCACAAAATGGGACAAAGCTCACTTAACCAATGTTTTTTGCTTAGCAACAGCAATGTTGGGCTCAATTGTGGTCATAAGTCAAGGACTACCTGTATAGCTATGGCACCCTCAGCTATATATCGCTGGGAAAAATGGCTAATCTAAAAAAAACAAACCCTACTCTAATCCAGCCAGCTCTCCAATACTGCATCACTCAAGATGCTACACTCTCTCCCATGTCCTGCTGTAGTGCACAATCTTTGCGTTGAGATTCACCCCAACCCCATCATGGCTTCTCCTGCACATGTTGAACACTTAGTCCCTTTTCAGAGCAATGCTGGGTGTGCAAGAGCCTCATCTCAGAGAAAAGACTTCCTCCACAAGGCTCATTAACAATTGATGTAGCCATTGCTCGGTTCTGAGATCGAGAAACCTGCCTTTGTTGGATTGGTCTTCTCTGCCTCTTCCCACCTAAATCATCATGTTTTAGCGACCCCATAATCCCTTGTGGGGTGGAGTCTGGGCAACAGAATGGGACTGTTTACTGGCCAGATGCCCTTCCAGTTGCCAATGTGGAGTTATATTCAGCAGATCTATTCTCAACGTGCCCACAGAGAGAGAAATATCTGACCCTACCTAGGATCAAACTCACAGCCTCCTGATTGTGAGGCAAGAGCTCCACCTCTAGGCCACTGCACCACTCTCTCTTCCCACCCAAATACCAATGGGATTTGTACCCTGGAGAAAGTCTTAAGGCTGGGTTGGCACCCAGCTCACCACATGCCCTGGATTACGATGCCCCACCAGTCCTGAACACCATAAAAAAATTACTTCTTTCAATGTGCATCTGGAAGGGAAAGGCCATTGCTTCTCCACAACCTTTGGCTGTTGCTAAGGCCAAATGTATTTGCCATATTCCCAAATCTCTCACCTTTACTGAACTGGAGAAGAAATTCTCACAGGCCTGATTCATGCCCTACATCCAAAGCCTGTTGCTAATCTCTTGTGTGTCAGCGTTCCAACTAACCAACTCCAAACCAATAAACTCCAAGACAA